CTCCTTCCTAAAAGGCCTGGGTATGGAGCAACTAGAGATATTTCTAGAAAAAGACATTTTGTTACTTGGAAGGAAATGGTTTGAATCATGGAAGTCTTGAGACAAGAAAAAAAGAGAAGTATCAACACTTGACTTTCATGTCATGTGAGAAAGTGCAAAAGGAATCTCTTAATTGCATAAGGCAGTTTTAATTGCACAAAAATCATGCAAAGAACACTTACTAAGCCTCTTTGTCACAACATGATAAAGTGTGGGGACTCTTGGTACTAACATAAAGCCATCAACCATGATAGGACTTTTCCGGGAGAAGGTCCAGGAAGGAAGGGGGAGTATTAGCAGAGTACTAGGCTCTGTGGGGAACACTGAACTAAGACTAATAGCCTTGATGAGAAAAAAATAACAGCACACATGAAGTGATCAGCAAATAACAGCAATAAAGTCACTGTTAGACCACTGGTCTAGCTCCTTCTTTCGAAATTCATAAAATGGAAGAGCAAGCCTCCTTGCCTTTTGGAGAGCTAATCTGGAACTTAAGTCTAAAAGGTACTGGTGTGCTGTAGGTAATTTGCTACTAAATTCTAAGGACAGAGTAGTACTTAAGTTTTAAAAATGCCTCTAAAGCTGGGTGCAGTGCCTCATGCCTGTAATCCCAGCACTTTGGGAGGCTGAAGCAGGCAGATCACAAGATCGGGAGTTCGAGACCAGTCTGGCCAACGTAGTGAAACCCTGTCTCTACTAAAATTATAAAAAAATTGGCCAAGTGTGGTGGTGTGCACCTGCAATCCAAGCTTCTCAAGAGGCTGAGGCAGGAGAATTGCATGAACCTGGAAGGCAGAGGCTGCAGTAAGCCAGGATCATGCCATTGCACTCCAGTCTGTGTGACAGTGCAAGACTCTGTCTTAAAAAAATGAAAAGTCTCTAAGATTATGAAATTCATGACTTTATCCTGTGGGTCTCATTTATGATTCTGACACAGTGATCACGATACATTTTTAGTTACAACAATGATGATGACATCTCACTTGTCTCCTTGCCTCTGTGTATTCTCTGCCTAATTTACACTGTACATTCCTGCCAAATTAATAATTGTGGCTGGCACATCTTGGGTGACCCCTGATGAATCACACTCTTGTATAATCTTTTCTCCTTGAGTGCAGATAAAACCTGTGACTTACTTTAGCCAATAAAATGTGGCAAAGGTGATGGCTATCACTCCCTAATTTTGGTTATCACCTATATCCATTTCCATATCTATATCCATGTCCATATCCATAGCTGTATCTGTATCTATGTGACTCCATCTTTCTTGTGCTCGGTAGAGAGATTCTCCCTGCTGGCTTTGAAGGAGTATGCTGCCATGTTGTGAAAGAGTCTTTAGTAAGGCCCATGTGGTAAGGAACTGTGTTTGGCTGCTAGGACCTGATGACCACTTCCATTTGAGGGCCAATAGGAAGCCAGGGCCCTTAGACAGCCACAAGGAACTCAATGAGCTGACAGGAGTTTGGAATCAGATTCTTCCCTAATCCAGCCTCCAGATGAGAATTGTAGTCTGGCTGACACCCACTTGTAGTCCTGTGAGAGCATGAGCACAGGACTCAGGTAACCTGTGCCTGATCTCCTTGCCCATGGAAAGTGAGGCAATACATATGTGTTGTTTTAAGACACTATGACACTAAGATTGTGATAATTCACTGTAAAGCAATTTTAAAAACCTGAATACCAAATGTTTAGGAAAACAGCCACTCTAATTATAGGTCAAAAGTCTTTGATTACTTTTCATTGTCTTTGGAATAAAGACCAAAAAGTTTATATGGCCGCTAAAGGCCTCTTGTTACCTGACATTATTCTGTTTTCCCATGTTAGCTTTTTATTACCTGGTCCAGGCTCAATATGCTCTCTCTGTTGCCTAGGCTGGGGTGCAGTGGTGTGATCTTGGCTCACTGCAACCTCTGCCTCCCGGACTCAAGCAATTCTCCTGCTTCAGCCTCCCGAGTAGCTGGGATTACAGGCATTCACCACCATGCTCAATTAATTTTTGTATTTTTAGTAGAGATGGGGTTTCACCATGTTGGCCAAGCTGGTCTTGAACTCCTGACCTCAGGTGATTTCACCTGCTTCAGCCTCCCAAAATGCCGGAATTACAGGTGTGAGCCTCCACGCCTGGCCCTTTCCCAATTCTGAATCTAAATCTGATCAATTTTTCTAGATTTCCATATGACCTAATGTGACTATTCTTCCTTACCCCAGCCAAGAAATAATTCATCTCTTTTTTTTCCTTGCTCCTTTATTTGGCATTTCTCATCCTGCATTATACTATAGTTTATCTGTATTAGCGGAAATTTGTCATTCTTTTTAGTTGCCCAGCATCCAACACACTTTCTAGCGTTTAGGGAATTCCCTACCTCCTGCATTTCAGTAGGAAGCAGAGCCTGCCTTCCTCCATGGAAGCTGAGTATGTCAGATTCTCCCTTTCTCAGCTTAACCTTCAGCTAAGGCTCAAGA